AATGGATACTTTTGAATATATTAAGGAAATTGCACAATACACATCAAGTGAAATGCAAAAATGTATCAATAATAGTTCTGCCAACAATAATTCTCTCATCTCCTCTTCTAAATAAAATTAAGTTTTTATTTACATTTTCAAAATTGATGGAGTGTGTTATTTAAGAGTGTTATTTACTACTAATAATGAGAATAATCCAATAGAGTTGAGGCAGCAACATTAGTCTTGATTGAATTGGATCTAGTTTCCTTCTTGACAATTTGTTCAAATCCCCAAACTTCCAAAGCATAAATTTCAAAATCAACTTCAGTACTAAAAGTTGTAATGGATTGTGATTTAACAAGTGTACTGCTGCTACTACCACTATTTGATGGAGTGGTTGCAGATGAAATTTCCTTTTCCAATAATGGAGTTTGTTCAACATTTGAATCATCTGAACATGCAAAAGTCTTACAAATATTTGTACTACCAGTTAATAATTCACCATCAATGATGAGAGCACTTCTTCCAAATTCATCACCACCATAACAAATCATTGAATCTGTTGATCTAATGAAGAAATCATTTAATTTAGTCCAATGATAAGTTTTGATATTTGTTGAATTTTTAAATGAATATAACATAATTTCACCATTTCCATAATATTTATGTCCTCTTTCATTATATGGCATTGAATTAAAAGCACCTAAAACATTTCCATCCATAGTTTTAATAATTAAAATACTTGCATCAATATCCAATGATTTTCTATATAAAGTTTTAATTGAAATACCATGTTCTAATGTTGAATATAATAAAGTCCAATTACTTAAATGATATCTAGCAGGTAAAGAAGAAACAATCTTCTTTCTTTGAAATTCAGTTGTAATTGGATAATTTCTATTTGTATTTAATAATTGTGGTGAAAATGTAACATTTGAACATGATCTCAATCTTCCACCAATTGTTGTACCAACACATAACACTGAATTATTTTCATCTGATAATTCTTTAGATAATTCTTTATATTTGGTATATTCAGGTAAATGTTTGCATAAAACAATGATTAGATTGTGAAATTCTTTCAATTAATGTTTCATTCGTAATAATTTCACTTGAAAATAATGAAACTTTCTTTTTAATTTCAATTACTTCTCTAATTTTCTCTTCAATTAATTGTTTATTAGTATGATATTCTTCTTCTCTTCTTTTACGTTCTTCATTCATTTTCTTTTTATCATTTGTTGTCGATGTTGTTGGTGTTGATGTTGATGTAGTAGATGTAGATGTGGAAGTAGAAGAATTATCAATATTAGTATTAGTATTAGTAGTATTATCAGATAATGTTTCATTATTAGATTCATTACTAGAAATATTAGAATTATCAATTATTTCATTATTATTATTACTATCTGAATTACTATTTTCATTACTATCATTTGAATTATTTTGATGAATATTATTTTGATTAATATTATTTTCATGTATAATGTCATTATCAATTGAATTAATAATTTGATTATTTAAATTTTTTTCAAATAATAAAATTTGATTAATATTTTCAATTTCCATTTTAATAATCATGTGAATAATTTTACAATCAGATTCAATAGCATTACAATATTCTTGTAATTCCAATTCTCTTTCCATTTGTTGTCTTCTTCTTTTATTATATAATTCACAAATTTCTTCATCTAATTCATCAATATTTTGTGTAAATAAAATTCGATGTAAACAATAAAAGTAACTTTTCCAAAAAGTAATATCATCTACATATTTAGGAACTAGTATATCATACATATTT